TTCGTAATTATTTATTAAAATCATTATTGCTTAAACTTAATAAATAATAATAAATTTAAAAAATAATAAAACCTGCTGACGTCGTAGAAACGAATTGTTAAATCGAATTATATTCGGAGCTCCGTAGTTATTAAATCATCTCAGTTAAACTGTAGACCTAAGCTAACACACAGCTGTATATAGGCCTAAATACAGAACTACAGAGTACAGAAGATATTAGCCTACACCACTTAGGCCAATTAAAATATTTAAAAAAAAAACACTGACCCGAAACAATAGGTAGTCCTTCAGAATGTAGGCTAGATATAGGCAGCAGTAATTTATAATCTAATATAATGCACGCAAATTTGTTCTTTACAGAACGGAGCGGGATCTGAGCGGGAATTGCTTCGCTCACATGCTCTGGATTACACCATAGACTGTATAAAAACAGATTACACGCGCAAAACAACAAAAAAAAGTGCGGCTGGCTTGACCGCAGTAAATTTTCTGCCCCCTTATCTTGAATTATGTGATCATTCTTAATGCGTATTAATAGACTGAATCATGCAGTGAAAGAATGCACTCTAAATGCGTACATGCACTAAATTAGTGTAGTCGCTTATGTGTGCACTCGGTAGGTGTGTTTTGTTTGGTTTTTGCAATATACTCCATAATGTCCTGATGTCTCACGAGTTCAGTATTTGCGCTAAACCTGCGCAGATTTGGCTTGCATGAACTTCCCCAAGAAATTAATGAGTGAACATAACCACCAACTTGGCTAGTGACTTGACAGCGTTACCCGCCACAGCTGATTTTTAAAATTTAGCTGGGTTAGCAGGTGTTAATTTCAACCCCTGTGTGTGTGTGTGTGTGTATATATATATATATATATATAACCTTGAAGGTTCACCTTAAATAGGTTCTGGCACAGCTCTCCTGTCTCCAGGATATAAAGACTTATTTTTGCAACGCGTTTTTACAGATTGTATGTCCCTCCTGGCGCACGGTCGCAGTGTGCTGTGAAGCTGAGGTAAAAACACAGGCAGAATAAAGAACTTTATAAATGATTGTGACAAAACTAATATTCCGCGTTTTCCTGCTCCTGGTAAGTTGTAAGAACGATTAATTATATGCTGCTTGTTTTACTTTAAATTATGTGAAGGCAGAATTGACTTATGTTGCATAATAATATATGCTATATTCTGATATCATACTTAAGGAGAGTGTATTTGTGTTTTTCTGCTCCCAGATGTGTCTGTCTGAGCACAGATATGATCCTCCAGTGTGTGTCAGATGTCAGCAGCAGGACTAATGGCTAGAATAAACAGGACATTTGTGTTGACTCTTCTCATCGCTGCCAGCTCCATATTCCTCCTCTTCCAGCTCTTCAACTACAGACAGTATTCATCAAAGGTGACAAGACAAAACCATTAGTAAACCTGACACATTGTGCTATGCTGTCCTAAACAACACTGATCATTTCCATCAAAGAGTATACAGTTAGGTCCATATATGTTTGGACACTGACGCAATTTTCATAATTTTGGCTCTGTATGCCACCAGAATAGAATTAAGATGAAACTGAAGTTCGAACTTTAAGCTTTAATTCAAGAAGTTGAACAAAAATACAACATGAAATGCTTAGGAATCACAACCATTTTTATACACAGTCCCCCCATTTTCAGGGGCTCAAATGTAATTGGACAAATACAATAAACCAATGTACCAAACTGTTGATTTGGCCACTCCTAATGTTCCTGCTATCTCTCTCTAATGGATTTGTTTTGTTTTTGAAGCCGAACAATCGTTTCACTTGCATGGAGTGCTCCTTTGACCGCATGATGTGGGTTCACAGCAACATCTTCCAAGCAAATGGCACATGTCTGTTCAGTAGTATAACAGAGGACACAATTTAATCATATGTAATATCTAATTATTATTAATATTTAACATGCATTGGAAAGGTTTCTGTGACCTCTCGTGAGATCTCGGCATAAGTCTCACGATTTATTTCCAGAACATGATGCATGATGGGATACACTAAGCCTTGAATACCGCTCCGGAGCTGTGTTTGAGATAGTGTGCATTAAAGGCACTACGCTTTGGCGTTTTAATGACCTGGGACAGTCTTGTGCACTTACTTCCTGTCGCGCGCACACGCTCTCAAGTGGCCAAGACCGCACGTGTGGGTATTTGGACAAGGCATAAGTCACCAACAGTGTTACCAGCGAAGCACTCCCACACCATCACACCTCCTCCTCCATGCTTCACAGTGGGAACCACACATTCAAGAACCATCAGTTCACTCTCTCTACGTCTGCCACTTGAACTCCGAGAAGCATTTATGTGGGCTGTAATCTGAGATGAAGTCAGTGGTTTCTGAGGCTGATAATTCTAATAAGGGATCAGCCCAGAACTACACGGGAGGAGTTTGTTAATGATCTCAAGGCAGTTGGGACCACAGTCACCAAGCAAACCATTGGTAACACACTACGCCGCAATGGATTGAAATCCTGCAGCCGCCGCAAGGTTTCTTGGGAGAAAGTGCTGTGGTCAGATGAGACCAAAATTGAGCTATTTGGCTCTTTCGCCGTGTTTGGAGGGAGAGAGATGTTGACTATGACCCAAGAACACCATCCCTACAGTCAAGCACGGAGGTGGAAACAATATGATTTGGGGCTGTTTCTTTGCTAAGGGTACAGGAAGACTTCACCGCATTGAGGGGCAAATGGACGGGGCCATGTACCGTAAAACATTGGATGAGAGCAGCCAGAACACTGAAGATGGGTCATGGATGGGTCTTCCAGCATGACAATGACACGAAACATACCGCCAAGGCAACAAAGGAGTGGCTCAAGAAGAAGCACATTAAGGTCATGGAGGGGCCTAGCCAGTCTCCAGATTTCAATCCTATAGAAAATCTGTGGAGGGAGCTGAAACTTCCAGTTTCCAAATGACAGCCAAGAAACCTGTGTGCAAACCTGCTTGCCAACAAGGGTTTCTGCACCAAGTACTAAGTCATGTTTTGCTTGGGGATCAAATACTTATTTGAGCAATTTATAACTTTTATATAATGTTTTTCTGGAATTTTTTTGATATTCTGTCTTTATCCATTAAAATAAATCTACCATAAAAATTATTGACCCTTAATTTCTTTTTAAGTGGACAAACTTTTTTTTTTATAGTGGGGTGATTCTTTTTATATACCCACTGTATATAATATGTATATACACATGCACAATCACAGGGTGTGCTTAATTTAATAATAAAATTAATCAAAGTCATAAGTTAAAAGTTGATGCACCTCATTTTGTTGATTGATGTCTTACATAAAATGACATTTCTTTCACTGCAGAATGGCCTTAACACATTGAGTAGTAAAGGATATCTGTCTGGGAAAGAGGCACATTGGGTGAGTCCAATTTAATAGTAATGATGAAAAGATTAGTCTAAGCTCTTAACCTGTGTGTTAAGGTTAATGTTGAAGCTTAATGCTCAGCAGCCGGAGGGAGATACAACAACCTGGGGATGTATCAGTTAGGTCTGATGTGTTTATTTATTTTTGTTAATCTGACTAAAGTCTGCCTACCCTCAACATATGCATCATATTCGCCTGTTATAGTATACAGTGCACTGTGAAATTCATAACTGTGTTGACTGTTGACTTCACTCCTGCCTCCTGAATCCAGAAAACTCACCCACCCTTTTAGCTAACAGTTTCAAACATTAAAGTCAATAAGGCAACAGAATGTTTTTATCTCAGATATGTAAGGCTGGGATTTGCTAACATTGTGTCTCGCTTTCTCCATTTTTTTTTTTTTCTTAATTTAGCATTTGCTGAAGAAGTTCCTGGGGCTGGTCCATAAGTTTAAATTGCCTGTGTTTCTGGTAGACACAGCATCTCTGAACCTTCTGTCCCAGGATGCAGTTCTCTACAGGGACAGTCAGCTGAAAGAGCCCCACTGCAGTTTCCTCTGCACACACAGGGACTTCACCACCTTTGCGCTGCTCGGAAACCTCTGGAAATATGATGTGAGAAAATCAATAGAATTTTTGTGGAAAAAGCAAAAGGATGCCTGTTGTTGTTTAGGCATTTAAGGAAGATTTGACTTAAATCTTCACCTTTTTCCCACATACCTTGTTCATTCTAACAACAGTTTAACACAAGAATAGACTGATAATACTTCTCTATATTTGTGCAGGCCGCCCTATTGGATGCAGCAGCAGAGCGCGGTCTGGAGCTGCTGGAGATTCATGGGAAAGACCCCAGACTGAACAGCATGGATGATCTGACAGCAAAAGAAATACCGCTGCACTTCCTGTTTCGCTTTAACAGCCGTCTGGTTCATGTGGTCGTTCTGTACGAGCGCAGTGGGAAGTACCTCTGGCATGGCCCTCTCAGGCTGAAAGGCAGTACGGACAGGACCTACGCCCCTTTCGCAAAACTGGACTTTGGCCGTCATGCTGGGGCCTATGACAGGTGACCGCATGATTATATTTTATAAGTTTATTGAAGTTTTCCATCTGTATTTATTTTTCCATAAAGCACACATGTGCATATACACTACTGTTCAAAGGTTTAAGGTCATTAAGTTTTTTTTTTTTTTAATAAAGAAATTAAAGGAATAGTTTACTGAAAAAAAATAAAAATTGCTGAACATTTACTCACACTCAAGCCACCCAAAATGTAGATGAGTTTGTTTCTTCATGGGAAGATTTGGAGAAATGTAGCATTGCATCACTTGATCACCAGTGGATCCTCTGCAGTGAATGGGTACCGTCAGAATGAGAGTCCAAACAGCTGATAAAAACATCACAATAATACACACCACTCCAGTGCATCAGTTAACGTCTGGTGAAGCCAAAAGCTTATTTGGAAACAAATACTAAAGGGTGTTCTGACTTCTAAATCATTGCTTCTGGCTAAAATACCATAATCCATAAAATTGCTTCCTCCAGTGAAAAAGTCCGTCTCCTGCTGTCTCTCATCAAAACTCACCCTCATATTTGTTTAGAGCTGTTTCAGATTGTTTTTGCTTGTAAACGGTGCTTGAGCCGTGCAGATTTCTCTCCTGATTCTGAAGCATAGTTTTGAAGTTAAAACGTCTTAATGATGGACTTGTTTCTCACAATCATGCAGCTTTTCACTTCACAAGACATTAATTGATGGATTTGTAGATTATTGTGATGTTTTTATCAGCTGTTTGGACTCTCATTCTGACGGCAGCCATTCACTGCAGAGCATCCATTGCTGAGACACTGATGTAATGCTACATTTCTCCAAATCTGATGAAGAAACAAACTCATCTACATCTTGGGTGGCTTGAGTTTGAGTAAATTTTCAGCAAATTTCATTTTGGGTGAACTATTCCTTTAAAGTCCGCGTGAACCGGAAGTTGCTGCCGACTTTATTTCAGTGTAATGACGTATTTCCATCTGAAACGGAATATTGAATAGAGGGCATGGTTTTATTTTGGCGCTCCTCCTCTCTGTCTCTCACTCATAGCAAACTAACCGTTGGAGGGGTGTGTTTAAAAGGATATTCTGCGCAAGCCGTCAAACTGACATCATCAGAGAAGGACTGCCATTCCAGAGCAGAAGCAAATGTTCAGATTTTGATTAAAGATTACCAAGACAAGCAATTTTTTTCAGCGGATTAACACAGATTAATTGTTCACATCAAGACTAGCAATGTGCGCTAGTAAAGTAAATAAAGTCCATTTTGATTTCATGCCGACTTTAATACTTTTGTTCAGCAAGGAAGCATTAAACTGATCAAAAATGACAGTCAAGTTTAAAATAAATGCTGTTCTTTCAAACTTTGTATTTATCAAAGAATCTTGAAAAACACAGTTTCCACAAAAATATTAAGCAGCACAACTGTTTTCAACATTGATAATAATAAGAAATGCTTCTTGACCAGCAAATCAGCATATTAGAATGTGAACAGAAGAGACTTCTTTTAAAAACATCGACCCCAAACTGAACAGTAGTGTAAGTGTCATATTATCTCAAGTATCAACTCACATACTGAAGATGCTAATTGTAAGGAAAAACTTAAGATTAGACATACGTTGTTTAATTTCATGACGTTTTTCAGGCCAGAGCTCATTCTGACCACTCTTGATGGGCTTGACGTAAGAATCCCCAAAAACTACACTCATTTCCTCCTTGAGCATTCCAGCAGTCGCTTTCTGGAGTGTCGCTGCAGAGAAGCCAAGGCCTTTTACCAGGTACTGTTGTTAAACCTTGACTTGTAAGTGTTTGAATGTCTTAATCAAGCACTGCATATCTATTGGGCTCAGAGTTGAAATAATTTTGTGCAGGCGTATCCAGAAGACACCTCTACAGAGGCTATGGACTTTAGGATGAGGGCTAAAAGTCTGCTTCATCTTGCTTCCAAAGTCCTCTCTGTGCTCGGAGTTCCGTTCTGGCTCAGCAGTGGAACCTGTCTTGGTAAGAGGCTCTCAAAATATGAGTCTTTCATTGATCGATATGTCAAACTCCTTTTAAATACAATGGATCACAGCCTATGTATTGATCTTTGTAAGCTGACTTTAATTTTAAAGGCTCAAATTATGATTTTGATTCCCAGGGATAGAGGTAGTCTCTTTTGAGATAGAGACTCCAAATTTCCTCTAGTATATGTTCAGGCTGTCCTCTACCTGTGTGCCATAAGAACACTAACAGATGCAGTAGGTGCTTTAATACCTTTGGCGGCTAATTAGATTGAATAACTCCCGTCCTCTTCTGACCTGTTTCCCACAGGTTGGTACAGGCAGTGTAATATCATTCCCTACAGTAAGGACGTTGACCTGGGCATTTGGATTAAAGATTATAGGCATGACTTCACTCAGGCGTTTCAGAAGGATGGTCTTCCAGTGAAACACAAGTTTGGCAAGGTAAGGGGTGATTTATTACCTGCCTGGAAAATACTATTTACATTACAGTAAATTTATATATATTTTGTCAATTTACATTGTGTGTGTAAATACTTATTCATGTGTTCCTTTAATACATTCAGTTATTTACCATGTTAAGGCAGTGTTTAAATTGCGCTACTGTATTACGTTAGCAAGATATTTACAGAGCTAGTATTCAGTTTTGGAGATAACAAGATTAGTCTGTCATATAGGATGTCACTCCAGCATTTCTCCCCAAAATCAAAAGAAAAAATTTACTTACTAGTAGTGCTGTCAAACGATTAATCACGATTAATCACATCCAAAATAAAAGTTTTCGTTTACGTAATATATGAGTGTGTACTGTGTATATTTATTATGTATATATAAATACAAACACATGCATATTTAAGAAAAATATTTTGTTTATATTAAATATATTTATATATAAGATATATAATAATATAAATATATAAATGTATATACAGGTGCATCTCAATAAATTAGAATGTCGTGGAAAAGTTCATTTATTTCAGTAATTCAACTCAAATAGTGAAACTCGTGTATTAAATAAATTCAATGCACACAGACTGAAGTAGTTTAAGTCTTTAGTTCTTTTAATTGTGATGATTTTGGCTCAGAAGGCTAACAATTCACTAAAATGTTTTTTTTTTATTGGTCTTATGAAGTATTCTAATTTGTTGAGAGTGAATTGGTGGGTTTTTGTTAAATGTGAGCCAAAATCATCACAATTAAAAGAACCAAAGACTTAAACTACTTCAGTCTGTGTGCATTGAATTTATTTAATACACGAGTTTCACAATTTGAGTTGAATTACTGAAATGAACTTTTCCACGACATTCTAATTTATTGAGATGCACCTGTACATGTAACTTTTTTCAAAATATATACTGTATGTGTGTGTATTATAAATGCAGTACACGCACACATATTATGTAAACGAAAACGTTTATTTTGGATGCGATTAATCGTGATTAATCGTTTGACAGCACTACTTACTATATCTTTAACATTTTTGACAATTAATCACATTTTCCCTCTTCTTTTTACTCTAATGCAAAAACAAACAAACAATAATAATTCTTCCCGTCTTTTCATAATGAGCATATTACATAGATTACATAGATACATTAGAATAGGCTGTTGCCTGGGCTGTGTTTAATTGTCATCGAAGTTACATCACAATGCAAAAACTTTAATGATCATCACTAAAGTAGGTTTTATTGATTGGTTGGTTGTTTTTGAGGTGAAATCAAGAGCACCCTTTTCACCCTTCATTTTTTTAAATTTCAGGTTGAGGACAGTTTGGAGCTCTCCTTTCAGGGAAATGATGTGAAACTGGACATTTTCTTTTTTTATGATGAAGGTGACGTTGTCTGGAATGGAGGCACACAGGCAAAGAGTGGCAGAAAATTCAAGTGAGTATTAGAAAGTTTTCTATTATCAAATTAACATTAGCTTTCAATCAGAGATGCAAACTCCAGGGGTGAAAAAGGGTTGAGAAAATGACATGAAATTACTGCTATAACCAGTAGATGGCTGCAGAGGATCACTCATGTGCTCATTTTCCACTCCCTAATGTAGTTCTTTTCATGTTTTGCTTTTAGATTATAAAATTATTATTATAACAGTTTTAAGCACTTTTATTGTACTGCGGTATAGCAAGTGTTGGAAAAGTCTCATACCATATAAACAAAGGAAACTTAGTTGAAAATAAGAAACAAATTAAATAAGTTAATTATTATTGCTAATGCTAATTATTATAAGTAAATAATGCATTAAATACCTTTAAATATTTTTAGATTTAATTTAAAAATATATATTTTTAAACATTGCTTTAAAAAGGTCTGCATTGCTGTTGCCGTTCTATTAGTCTGCATTTAGACTGCAACACTCAATGCACAGGTCTCTTTTGACATTGGCTTTTTTGACATTGTCCTCTGCATGACAAACTAAACTTTTCTTCAGATTGTGAATGGATTATACAGAGAAAGCAAGCAAAGAGCGCTCTCTTCATAGCACTGACTGAGCTCACTCACATGAAAACTTTTGAGTGAATCTAACTACACAATGCACAGTGAATCTCTTATTTACACCGTCTACGCTTTATTATGAGAGAATTTTTTAAAGCATGTAGAACTCAGTCAGTAAACTTATGCTAAACTCGTACAGTGTTTTGAGGGATACTGAGTGGATTCTGACTAACCTACAGTAAAGATCTCTGATTGGCCATAGCTTTCAACAGACTTGACTGTGATTGGCTATAATACAAACTGCAAAAACATGTATATAGAAACCCACATTGTAAATAGAAGTATGCACCGTTGAGTGGGTATAGAACTGAGTTAGTACTACTGGTAAAATGGTTTGCACGAAGGCACAATAACAGTGAGCGTTGTATGAATTCAGAGACCCTCCTCTCAAAATCTAATCACAAGAAGACACATTTGAGACACATTAGGACAATGTGTGTGAAAGTGCTGTAAAAGAAGCTGCCACAGAGTATGGATGACCTGGTTTGCATCGTTTGTTTTAGATCTCATTACTATTCGCTGCAGGGGTTTGCAGTTGGAGTTTTTTGTTGTTGTTGTTATTTAAAATCATTAATCTATTCTGTTTCCTTGTTGGTCGTTTTGAATTTTAAAACAACTACATTTTAAACTTCTTCAAGGCCATTTGTCCAATTCTCATGAAACTTTGCATGGAATCATCTCTGGAGTCTCATAAAAAAATGTCAAAAGAATTTTGATTTGTTGAATTGTTCTGAAGACTTAAAGCCAATTAAACTGAGCAATTGACATATACAGTGGAAAGAATACGTTTGTGACAATATCTGGATTCTGCATTGATTACTCATAAAATGTGGCCTGATCTCAACAATTAGAACCGAACACAATATAAAAGTTGAACTTTTCAAAATTGTATTGAAGACATGATCATTGACAGGGCAGGCTGAAAAAGGTAAGTGAACCTCTGTGTTACAACTTTTCCAAAATTGAGCTCATTTCAGGTGATGAGATTGGATGTGTGGTTTGCACGGGTGCCTACAACCTGTTCAACCCTAACCTCATGACAGACACTCAAAAAAAAGTTATCAACAAGATCTTTCATATTTAGCCGTTTTGGTCATGTTTAGTCACATGTCACACATGACATGGAACCCCAGTGCCTGTTGCAGAACATGATTGTGAGAACACAATGGGTGGCATTATTCAATACCCAGGGAAATTCAGTTTTTCAAAAAATATTGCATCTTTTATTTGTATTGTTTCCTGATAGATATGTGTTCCCACGATTCAATCTGTGTTGGACCGAGCTGATGGAGCTAAAGGTCCGAGTTCCCTGCGAGACTGAGGATTATGTGATGGCCAACTATGGACCCAACTGGAATGTTCCTGTGAAAACCTGGGACTGGAAGACCTCTCCGTTCAACGTACAGGAGAATGGCGTCTGGCCTGTGAGGGAATGGGATGATGTCATCCAAGTTTACTGAAGCATTGTGGGAGTTACAATATATAGTTACACTCCAGTTGATATGGGTCATTGCTAGAGCCCGACCGATATGGGTTTTTTGGGGCCGATACCGATATTAGGGAGTTTAAAAAAAAAGGCCGATATCGAGACTCTATGTTGCGATTGAACAGGACGTCACGTACATTAATACGTATTTAATTACAAATTATCTAATTAACACTGTGAAATGAACATTGCTTGCAGAAAGACAGCAAAACCACCACAAATTGACTTGCTTGGCCGGGGCGAAATCATGGGCTGCGTCTCGCGGTAGTTTGATGTCATACGCCGATCGTTCTGTGGGGGATGGGATCTCGCGAGAAAGTTGTCAGCACAATTAAAGTGGCTGCATTTTTTTTTGCTAAATGTCAGTGGAAAATTGTGTACAAATGCAGGAGTGTCGGAATTTTTAGATGTTGATTAAGTAATCCAAGTGTCAAAACAACAACAAAAATAATTTTAAAGACACATATGTGCACTATATATATCCATGTAATCACCCTATATGGGATTAATTATGTTTGCACTTGTATATTTGATAAAACAAATAGGGTCCCATGTGTAGCCCATTTTGAGCCCATGCACAAATTTCCCATTAATTACCCAACTAGGAACCACATGGGGAGCCCACCTGGGTTCACCCATGTGGGTCCTAGCTGGGTCACCTAAGTGGGCCCCAGATAAGATGCCCATTTTATGCCCATGCCCACTCTGTACCCCTGTAGCCCATGTGAAACCCATTTGGGCCCCACATTAACGTGTTTGCTGGGATGGCCGTTCAAAGTTTCAATGGTTTTCTATAGACTTAAGCTTTAAAGTGTTTCATCCAGGTCGCCAGTAGCAAACAATGGAGCGCGCTCTGCTGGACAAACTAAGTAATTACACCATTTCAAGCATTTTATCTGCATTATATGTTCTGTAAAAATTTGTTTAATATCGGCGGCATATTCGCCGATACCGATATATCGGCGACAGGTTCATATCGGCCGATAATATCGGCAAAACGATATATCGGTCGGGCTCTAGTCATTGCAGTTACAAACCACTCTATGCTACTACAAATTAGAAAGTAAGCCCGTGGAAATGTTTCAGTGTTCCTTAAAAGTCTGCAGACCTTGACTGCCTTTGTAACACTAGGAGAACATTGAAAACATTAGAAGAAATATTAATGTGATCAAGAAATTTGTTAATATTTTTTATTTTTTTTTATTTTTTATATTTGTTAATATTTCTTAATGTAAATGATCCATCCTGTAAAGATGCACACTAAGATGCTTAATTTAAATAAACATGTTATGCAGTGCAGGGGTTTGAGTGGCTCAGCAACCCTGGGAACTGTGTTTTCTGGAGCTTCCTTGGCAAATTGGTCCCAGGTTAGAAGCCAGACAAAGAGTGATCCAACATTGTCCCCTATGACTAGGAAAGAGGGTGAGACCTTTACTGTAGTAGGGATACCAGGGTCCTCTCCTGGAGGCAGGCTTGGGAGAAAGCCTGGTGGCTGGGCTCGGACCCATGGGGCCCAGTCGGGCTCAACCCAAACAAACAACATGGGGCCACACCTCCTTGTGGACTCGCCACTTGTTACACAATGGGTGGCACCTGGAGAGGGGGGCCCATGGATGTGGATAACTAGAGGGTGACTCTTAGGGTGGCATTGCTGCTATTTGCAGATGATGTTGACTGTGACCTTCAGTAATTACTGGAGTTGTTTTTTGGCAGTGTCATAAGATGAGGATGAGGGTCACAACTCTAAATCTGAGTGCATGAATATCAGTTGGAAAAAGGTGTATTGTCCTCTTTGGGTATTGCTTTTTCAAGTGGAGGAGCTCAACTACCTCCAGGTGTTGTCCACAAGTGAGGGTAGGTCTAAGCCTGAGGTTTATATCCTTTGATAACACAGTTGAGAGACTCTGTGGCCACCTGTCAGCACATCATTCCTGCGTCCCTGCCACTGGTCCTGAGAATACACATGGAATGAATTTCTTAGAATTGAACGTTATTCATTCTCTCTATTGCACCCAAGACATCCTGTTTTATCCTCCTACTTCATTTATATCAATAGACCTTATGTGTCAGAGAAACAAGTGTGCAGTCATATTTAGAATTCTGTCTTTGAAGTTCCGTTTTTGTGGTAGGTCTATAGCATTGCTGTTGAAGAGTAATTAGCTGGTAAGTGGATTTACTTATTGTAGATTTAACAAAAGTTATCATGAGCATTGTTATGTTCCAAGCAGATGTCAACAAATGTCAGTAGAAGATTTTAAAACGAACGGTTCATTCATAAGTGCCATATTGTTTCAAGGATAATGTTGTGAAGAAATCATCAGGCATTGCTTGTTCACTGACTTAATTTGTGTATTGAGGTAGGGGTACAATTCCAGTAGCCATCCTGAAAGCCAATGCCAAAGCCTTGAGTTGGCTACAGTTGGGTTGAGACCAAGAGGGGTGCGATGTGGGCTCCTTTTTTCTAATTGAAGTCCCAACATACAACGTTCTGGATCATCTGCAGAGGTTTAGATGTGCTGGCTGGAAGGCCATCCAATGGAACATTGCAGTAGTCCAGCTGGGTAGCATATTAAGAAAAGAGTCTGATTTTTATGATACGAAAAAGCATGGGCATGCATTGCCAAGTGGTTGCTGAGATGTGGGTAATAAAGTACCTTGCCGCCTTGGTGGTAAGTGTTGTCTTTGCAAGGTTGAGTTGAAGGTCCCCAGGATGAGATATTTGTAAGGCAGAGTTGGCAGGTTTGATCAACCAGTGAATGTGCATATCATCTGCATAGCAGTGATTGGAGAAGACATGCATTTATGATTGCACCTCTGATGAGGTTGTGAACATCAAAAAGAGCAGGGGGACCAAGTACTGAACCTTGATGCACACCAGTGATTAACTGATGTATCTCTGACACTGTCAGTGTGTGGTGCAGTGCTGATTGCTGAAAGTCACCACATTATCAGTGGAAAAGGTGGCATAGTCATCTGGGGCCTCATTTATAAAACATGCGTACGCACAGATTTGATCAAACATGGTAAAGTGCTTAGTGCCACGTCAAGGGTCTAAGCAGACGAACACACTTTTCCTTGTGGCACAGAGTCGGAGTACTGCAGGTATTTGGAAATCTTAGCAATTCTTTTCGTGAAGGATTTGAATTGGTCCTCTTTTATGTGCTAATGGAATTAGTTAGGGGGCATTTACAAGATAGAAATCTGAAACCTTTCAGCTGTTCACAATTTCAAGATCATTTGCTATTTATAGATTTGACTTCTGGAAGGGAAGCGTATGCACGCTTTTGTGTGCATGTTAGTTTCTTTGAATTACATATATGCACATTTGAAAAATAGGACAGTTTCTATGCAACATTTTATAATGAGGCCCCTGATGTAAGCTAGAGAGCATTCCATGCCACCCATCTGGATATATATATATATATATATATATATGTAACACATTTTTAAATAAATATATATATATATATATAAAAACACATTTTTAAATGAAATGACAGCGGATGCCTCCAAAACAGGCTCAAGATGCACTGAATTGCACTTTTCAGTGTTGGTTAAACCGTTACCTATTTACAAATCATGTAGGATCTGCAGAAAATTGTGTAACTGATTTTACATAAAAAAAACATATCTACTACATAAAAAGGGTAAAAAACATATTTCATCCATTAACTTTTTATAACATTTCTCAGAAGCTCTGGTCAGAATGGGGGGGAAAAATCACTTGTTAAATTTGTTCATAAAATAGCCTATAATTTGCTGTATAAGTATTATATTTGGCTTAAACTTTTTCCATTTCATTGTAAATTTGCTTCGTATTAACAAATATCGAAAATATTATACATTCTGTAGTACCACTTCTAAATACAAATAAAATGGGGTCTTTTTAAAGGAAACCTTGAGGCTGATTCACTTTCCTGAAAAATTCTTTGTATTATTGGGAGATGTATTTTTATTTTCAGTTAATGTTCCATTCACATAAACACAAAACACAGGCAATTAATTGTTTTATTTTGTACAAAATGTATCCATATAGTATCAAACAGATACTCCAACAACAAATAGTCAATTTACAAACCTTCATGACATGTATCCTTTCACTGGACAAGAAGCAAGTGTGGGAATATTTACCCACTTCCCAATCAAAACACTAGAAAACAAGCCTGCCTTCAGACAAAGCTAAAGAAACATACTTGATACAACAGTCATATTTAGCAGTGCCTTGGAATACTGGCACCTATGACCTTATATAAATGTACAACAGAAATCACAAAGACAAGTGCAGAGTTAGCAAACACCTAAAAACTGCAATAGCTATGTAAAGAACAGTCTGGCTCACGATCCAAAAGTGGGGGGGATAAAAAAAACAAACGTACACAGGGAAAAGCAGCTCCTTCTCAACAATGCTGGACCAGCTACAGAACCAATGATTAAAAATGAATGAATAAAAAAAATTGAGGGTAAAAAAGCTTTTTGGTTTTCACATTTAATTTTTAATGCACTGCATGCATGATGCTAACAATGGGAGGAGATCAAGAATTTTTTTTTTTTTTAAATGCCCAGAAAGATGCAGTTTAACTTTCTGATGAACTTTAACTGTATTAAAAAAAATTATAAATGAAATCTAACAATATTTACAATATGAAAAGGGGAAAAATAAACCGGTTTAAAACAATTTCCCCTATCTCCGGTATCGACCCCTCTCCTTCTCCCTCTCACGGTCTCGAATCCGCTCTCTTTCACGGTCCCGTTCTCTGCCACGCTCTCTTTCTCGGTCACGACGCCCGTCCCGTGGCCGGTCGCGCTCTCTCTGTCGGTCACGCTCACGTGGTCGGCTCCTACGTCCACTCACCACTGCCTGCGTTCGTCTCAGGAAATCATCCACACGCATGTCGTAGTCATGCTACCAAAGAAAAGTTTTAAAGTCCGAATGAGTGATCAAAAAAATTTTAAAAATCACATCAGCTCAGTTTATGAATGACATTTGCAGCAGTTTTTGGAACAGATCTTTCAGCTGATCAACGCTATGGTAGTATTTGAGCCATTTAAAATAACTAATTACCAAACTGGAGGCGAAGGAGCGAACGACCCTCTTTTCTCTGAAGCGGGCATCATGGGGCATGGGATGGTGTCCGGAGTAAGGAGGGTGGGCCTGGGGTGGAGGAGGATGATGATGCTGGTAGTATGGGTGCTGGGGAGGATGCTCCATTCCAGGGTACGGGGCCTTCAGATAAAAACAGTGTCAGGATTGAAACACATGGACAACGAGAACAAAAGATTCAGAAAACTGTCAGAATATGTTCAGTCTTACCATTCCTTGCCACGGAGGTGGAGGCCCAATGCTGTGGTGGAATTCTCTCATATAGTCATTGTAGGACTAGAAATAAGAAAATGAGTGTTAATCATGTTTATAAAGTACATTTAGGACTTGATTTTTATAGAACTGAACGTTAATTAGCAACTACAATAAAACGAACTGGAAATTCAACTTTGAATTGACCTTGTTTGCTTTTAAATGCATGTTCCTGTGTTATTGTGCACAATTCCACATGGTGTACAGTGTTGCCAAGCGTTTTCAATGGAAAGTCGCTAAATGATGTCATACACTAATTAGCATATTCATCACATCATATTTGCATTCTGCCTAGTGTCAGCCCTTTTCACCCGTTTGCTTCTCTCCTACTCTGTGCTCACATACTGTATTTTAATATAGCTGAATTCCCAATAAATCTGTTCTCATTTAAACATTTCTGTTTCTGCTGTCAGACAATGGAAACAAATATGAATTCAACAGTAAATGAAACATGACCCATTAAGACTATACATGTTAACCAGCAGTCACTTTCAAGCCATTTCCAAGCTGCTGCTCTGCACTGCTAAAGCATCCTGATTTACAAACGCAACACGGCCTGACAAAATTACCATACACATACGCTAAAGACAATGGCTGTACTGTGATTTTAGCTATATTTACATCTAAAATGATCGCTCAGAGAGAAAGTTGGAAGCAACAGAATGTCCTTCTTATTTATTTATTCTCTTGACAGCACACAGCCTGTGACAGTGAGGTGCTAAACTCCTAAGCCGCAGCAAAAAAAAATGGCTGCCCACTGCTCCGGGTGTGTGTTCATGGTGTGTGTGTGTTCACTGCTGTGTGTGTGCACTTTGGATGGGATAAATGCAGAGCACTAATTCCGAGTATGGGTCACCATACTTGGCCACACGTCACTTTCACTTTTCATATTACTAATATAGGCCACAAAAAAGAAATGTGAACAACCAAACCAAAAAATGGATCTCAGCAATAAGTCACAATTCAGCACTAACTCTGCTTGCAGTGTGAATCGAGCCTAAGATACACGGCTACAGGTGACTCCGGCAAGAAAATGGATTGTGAATGGCATTTCATGTTGATGTAAAAATCGAGAAAATGAAACTCTTACTCCGTTGAGAAATACATCTCTCCTAACACCAGAGAAGCGCCTGTGAAGAGAAAATTGGTTATAATACGTTAAGTTATAATGCAACTCCCATTTACAAACGGAGGATAAAGAGGGAAAGACAACAATACCAACCTGTCCACAGGTGGATTGCGAGGGTCTTGCATAAAACCTAAACAGACAGCAAAAATGAGACAGATTTCACCAATTACAGAAAAGCACAGCACAAACAATAACACCAAAAGTCCCAAGTGACCAATCTCATTTAAAATCCCAAACAAATGCTACAACCGTCTTGGCCAGAAAGCAAACATTTAGAAACTCAAAATCAGGGTGCAGTTCAGCTTTCATACTTACTACGCAGAAACACACCTAAGGTACCATCCTTAAAACACAAGTCACTTGTCTCGATAAAGAGCCATAACAAGGGGAGAAAAAAAGCTTTTTGTGGCACATTACTGTGGCGTTCTTTCAGAAAGCAGACCACTGAAGAGCGAGACAGAAGAAATGGAGAGATCTACGTGCTGCGGATATTGACCTGGTCTCTGGGGGAATTCTGGCGTGTAAAGTTCATTTAAAAGTCCATCTTATGCTTTAACACATTTTAAATGGGAGGGCTTGGTAAAGCAGAAGAAGGGGGAGTGATAAGGAGTGGTGCAGTCCATTGCAAAGCAAACCAAAAAGACCAAAAGACATCTTCCAGACATCTGGAAATAACCCTTTCTCTTGGGGTACTCAGTCCATGGAGGGCTCAGAGAAACACAGAAGAAGGCAAGGGTGGAGGCATCATTTTACACCATCTTTAGTCCAGAGGAGGGAAACCAAACCGCCTACCTACCACCAGCTGGAACATCCCATCGTTTGAGACGAGGGGGCTTTTCGTAACAAAGAGGGTGGGGGAAAGGGGAGGGACGTGTAACGCATCCAAACTGGAGTCCATCAGTTGGGGCTGGGGGCCAGACAATGCAAACCAACCAACTTCCTCATAATGTTTGTCTGGAGAAAGTAAGGATGCGTTTAAGTCCTTTTTGGGGGCCATTTTTCTCACTTTTTTGAGCACTGTGGTATGGTACAGAGTTCATGTAAAGCAGTGCTCTATAGGGACAGTCCCTGGTGTGATGTGAGTCCATAAGCACTGAAGAACATGCTCTTTTTTTTTCCCTTCCTCCCTGTCTCTTCCTCTCTGTTTTTATTCTTTCCTTCACCGTTTGATGCTACACCCCGCACACTTCAACTATCTATATTCATAAGCACACACTGGAGCTGGAAAGGAAACCAGCAAAGAAGTCCCAAAATACGCTCCTCTTGAACGCTTTCTTTTTTTAAACAACGACTGCTTTCTGCCCCTCAAATCGATGTGCCATCTTCTGTTTAATTATTAAGGCTCCTTTTAAAAGAGTCCCAAATTTGACTGGCTCTATCCCCCATAGACACTCCTGCAAGAAAAGGCTTCAGGAACAAATTTAAACACAGTCGCATCTACAGAAAGACACAAACCTCAGTGCTACAACTACACAGTTAACTAGAGGCTTAAGTTGTTAACAGAGGCATATCAGGTCAATCGTTACTCCATTTCAACTCCAATTAACCATCAAAATTAACAATAGCATGGATGATTTATGCTGGGACTTTCCCACAAAAGCCGCAGCCGGTCCGGTCTGCTCTGGTCGGCTTGGTTCGTGGCTCTTCTCTGACCCTCGCTCAAGTGACGATGAAGACGAAGGTGGAAAAATAACAAAAACACACACTTGCTCCCTTCGCATCAGGTGACAGGGACACAAGTGCGCACTATCAGTCCAAAGAACATTTCTAACCTTCCCATGTCCCGAGGGACGGGCTCTCTGTGGGGCAGTCGGCCCCGAGATCGAGGCTCTGAGTGCATCCTTCTCTTGTGGCGCATTTTGTGAATGACTTGATACAAGTCAATGCTCTCATCAGGTGGGAAGAGCATGCACAGCTGTGTCCCGCAGTCTGGTTCGATCTCCTGTAGCCAGCCGTTTGCAGAGGTCCAAGAGATCATGTGAGACAGTGAAAAGAAAGAAAAATCATTTAACATTCTTTAACCAAATTATCTGACTGCTTATCTATGAGGCTAAAGAGGACATGGGATGGGAGGCTATAAGCCAACAGGAACCCACAATTAACTCTATTTGCATTCTTTTTCATCAAAAAAAAAAAAAACTGAATTAAATTATGTTTTTGGCTGACATTAAGAGTCCATCCTACTTTTTCAATCCCTCCCCTGCAACCACAGGACTAGTGAAAGCTGAGGTACGTTTATAGAGAATATCAATATAAGAGAGCATTTTGGGCCAGTTAACGGACCTGTCACTTGTCTTGTTGTTGTGGTGCACCAGCAGGAAATTTGAGGCCGATACTCAATTTTAACACAGTGATTGGCCAGTACTGATTCAATCACCAACATTTATTTTTAAAAATCACCTTGCCACATTTTTACAGGATTGACCCATTTTCTGCATAAAGTATTCCAGCAAAACTGTGTATGTATGTATGAATGTGTAGCCGTCAGAGTTATAGCTGTGAAATTTCCAGCCATTACTGAAAATAAAAATCTCTCATTTTATTATTATTTTTTAAACCCTTAAATATTTTTCAGAAAAATGCTACATTTGTTGATAAAAAATGGAATGCATTTTTGTTTGGGATAAATGAAACCGTTAGCAGGGCAGGTTAAAAAAAAAATTTAAATTCTGACCCGAAAAGAAAAATATATTATTAAAATATATTATCGTTGAGCCCTGAACAACCTGGATATATGTAGAATTCACGTTTTACAATCTAATCCCTGATGAAAATAATTCTAAGTAAAATGGGTTACGGAAGGAGTTTCACATTAAAACGACTAACCTGTCCATCACGTCCAATCTTCACAGGCTTGTGCTCATTCCATGAGTTGGAGAGGTGAGCCGTTTTTGTGAAAGGTAATTCCCGCCTTCAAGCAGAAAGAAAAACCTCAATAGCTCATAATTGCAAACAACTACATAAAAAAAAATCCTGAAATTGCTTTTTCATGGTTTTCACCTGCAAATCCAGTCAATCTTGAAGACTCCTCCAAGCATCTTGGCATTCATGCCTGCAGGTAGAACCCAGTGGATCGGAGAACCTCCAACTGTAAACTAAAAAAAAAAAAAAGAGACAACACTGCTTTCCCCCCCGGTTTTTACCTGCAAATCCAGTCAATTTTGAAGACTCCTCCAAGCATCTTGGCGTTCATGCCTGCGGGTAGAACCCAGTGGATGGGAGAACCTCCATGATGAGATTCAGACGAGAGCCGCGCAAAACCTGAAACACACAAACACACATCCTTATGTGCACCAACATAAAGCCACACTAAATGAGTTTGCGTTTGCAAATCATAGCAAATCTAAATCAGTATTTTTTGTAAGACGTACCTTGAAACTTTCCACTCTCCCTAACGGAAAATATTAGCAAAACACTTCTAGCAGAGCGAAAAGCTGCGTTGAGTTTTTTCTCGTTGACGGGCAAAGTGGACCAAACACCCTGTGGAGAGATCGTGCACAGCACGTTAACGGAGTAAAGCTTCCATTAAACTCAAAAAAGCCTCTTCAAATTGTAAAGAGTGCTGTATGTGGCACACCTTTGCTTTAGCCAGGGAAACGTTCTCATGATTGTTGCTCTTAATTAGAAAAAACCTGGCCTCTCTCAGGATATACTTCAGCTTGCTGGTTTGATCTTTAAAAAGACAAAAGGAGAAAACTGGTCACAAATGCAGTAACACTAGTCAGTACATGGCTGCAATGGCAGAATTGATAACATTGATAATGAAAATAATTCTCAACAAATTTCAATAGATTACTGACATGCAATGCAATTAAATGTGCAAACATTATCTGAACGCGAGTGTGATTCTCTTACCCTTCCTCACAGCTCTGACAGAAGAGGACAGTTTTTCATGTTTCTTTTCAGACCCTAAAAGTCAGAGAAACACTACACTTTAACATTCAGATCGAAAAACGTGTGCTGCTGCTGGCGGCCCATGATTTTGACTGGTCCGTTAGAACATGAAACAGCCCAACGCTGTACAACAGGCTTTAACAAAGATTACTCCCGCAAGCTTAACGTAATCGTATAAGATTAGAGAAACAAAATGTAGTTGTTGGAAATTTACACTATTTCAGGTTGCCATCAGGTGTGTATAAATGCATTTATGATTGAGCTATCTGTAATCTGACCTGCTCCGCCAAGGATCAGTCAATCTACACTTCAGCCAATCAACACGTACGGTCCATTTTATCTTAGTTTTACCATTACAACAATTCTTAAGTATCTTTTTTTTTTACTGCTCTAAGAAACAGATCATTGATCAAACTATCACACATCTCAAACATTTAAACTGCAGGACTGACTGCTGTCTCAGCTGATCAACTTTCATTCTTCTCTTGCATAATTTCACTCATGTCTATTTATTTATTTCTAAGTAGCCGTGTAATAAGCGGGACAACATACAGTCAAGTTGGTCATTTTTTTAACCAGCTGACTATACATTAGCCCTTCCATATTTTTCATTTTATAATGAACCATTTAGCGTTTTCAAAAAACCTCATCTGAAATCGTTACGGTGACTCTTATTTAAAGGTTTTATTAGCATTGTTAAGGGATTATTTAATACCTGTATAGGATTCTGAAGCTGAACTTCCACTTCTATCAAAAACGATTGGTGATATCCCTCTAGCGTGCTTCTTGGCTTTGCTTTCCTCATCTGAACAGTAAATGGGAGAACACGTCCCTTATGTTAGAATTTCAAGGATTATTTGAGATTTCTTGGGCTCCAATTTCTAGCCAAATAGTTTTTCTGTCCTTTGATGAACACAGCCAGGTAGCGACCCGTAGTGAAAACTTCTAACAACATGAGATCAACTAGTCACAGGTAATACAGTCGTAAGGCAAGTTGCATAGTTCTTATGGAAATGTAATAAAACATTTTTATGGTCTTTTATCTGCAGGTCTGCTCCAAATCCCAGCGAACTGCCAACCTACGCAAAGTTGTAGGCATCAGAGAGGCTCTCCTGATGTGAAGGTGGCTGCACAAGAGTTGCTAAATGAAATACCAAAATGCTTTCCAACAAACTCCCTAATTTTAAAGACTGTAACAGTCGGGTTCCAGAAGTTAAATCTCCATTTATTTTCTCCACAAGGAAATTGACTTTTAACGATAACTTTTAACAACCTATTGTGAGTTCAGAGGCTGTTCATTGATGGTATATGCTTTTGTTGAAGCCATCCATTCACATAATTTCAACTTATTTTTTAAATAAGTGTGTTTAACAGCTGAATCCATTGGTACAGCCCTCCCTTCTCTCCAAGAACTGTACTTATCCAGAGTGAGCAAAAGGGCTAAAAAGAGAGACGCAAGCCCAGGATACTCAAGGAACAAAATTATAGAGATGCCTCAGAGGATTACAAGACAGTGTGGAAAAACTTTGCATCGTCTTTCTTGCGATCCTAACAACATAGGGTCCAACCATTGTTGCGTTGCACCCCGTCACTTTACAGAGAGACTGAAAATAAAAGATGATGCAGTGCCAATTATAATGTATCTGATAGCAATGTTGCAACACTTAAGTGTGAGTAACAGTGACACTATTGCTTTGTCTGTTACAGATAGTTTGATATGTACTGAGCATTTACATGTTTGTCGAATCCGCCGGCCGCACCGTTCTCAAGCCCGCCCCGCCTCTGCTCACTGAAGCCCGCCCGCCGCCGCTCACTCAAGCTGGCCTCCGCTTACTCT